TATATATATATATATATATATATATATATATATATATATATATATATATATATATATATATGTATATATATATAGGGTGGCCCACATAAAGTGTTACAAGCTAATAACTCTGAACATATTCATCCTATCAAAAAGTTGTTCATGAAAAAGTTTCATATATTCATGGAATCTTTATAATTACGTAAATAAAAATCTACTCCCGTCTCCCCTTGAAGAGGGGCGGGGGATAACTTCAAAGTTTCAAATGGGACCCCATGTTATACAGTGTTACATATTTGGATTCTACGGGAAAAAACAAATAAACTTTGTCTGAAACATTTTTTTGGAAGCCTTCTCTCCTTCCTTTGTCCACGATCTTTTTTGTGTTCGATTGATATGCGTTACATATTTGTCATCACCAGTTATCATTCTCTTCAGAAATGATTCAATTTCATTCCGTTTCAGTAGCGTATGTTAATTCGGTCCATCATGTTCTTAACACTCAACTCGTGAGGAACCCAAACATCGAGCTTCTTTTTGTATCCAGCTTTGTGTAAATGATTCAAAACTGTTTTGTGGTCGATTTCATATGCCAATTCGTTGAAAATGTTACAAAAGGCCTTTGGTGAATCGTGTCCATCGAAAATATAAGCATATGATTGGTATAAGGCATTCAAAGAAGATCGTGAAATAGTTACTGATTTGCCTTGTATAGTCGACCATCGACGTCCAAAACTGATGAAAACATTGAAAAAATGAAAAAAATTGTGCTTGAAAATAGTGATAGCAGTTAATAGAGAATATTATTTAGGTGTTATGAAGCATTTGCGTGAGAATATTCGTCGGAAAAGACCAGATTTATGGAAAGACAATTCATCGTTTTTGCACCATGATAATGCTCCATCGCACATATCGATTCTTGTACGGGAATTTTTAAGCAAAATTCAACGAACATGATTCCGCAAGCACCGTATTCACCTGACATGGCTCCTTGTCATTTCTTTCTGTTTCCTAAACTCATGTTGTCACACCGAAGAAAGCGTTTTGAATCGATTCATGCCATAAAAGAAAATTCGCAACGAGAGCTGAAGGCAATACCAATTTCAGCGTACGAAAAGTGCTTTGAGAACTGGGTCAAGCATTAGCACCAGAGTATTGCATCAAATGGAGAGTATTTTGAAGGAAATAAAATAAATATTACTCAATAAACAATTACTTTGCGTTTTATTTAACAATTCTGGCTAAACAATTATTTTTTGAACGTAATATACTAATATTATTCGCTCGCTGTTTCATGACGACTTATCTCTTTTTTCTTTTGTTCATAAAATTCAATAATACACGATAACGAATATTTATAGTAATATTCATAACATATCCGATTATATAAATTATATGAATTATATTTATATATGTGAAATATAACAAAATATATAAGTAATAATATATAAGTAATAATATATGTAACCACAATTACGTAAATAATTTTTTTATACTTCACACATTATATAAGAATAATATAAAGAACGAAACGAAAATATTTTAATATTTCGAATAATATAAAAATTATAATATATTTTAATATAATATTTTACAAATAAAATTTCAATTAAAAATATGAAAGCTTAATAATATTCGAAAAATGTTCAAACGTTTTATAAAATGTTTACATCAACAAAAATTAAATTAATTTTAAAATTAAATTAAATTAATTATGAAAATATTATTTATTCTGTTGTATGTAATCGTTACAATAATGATATGTTCGAAGAAATGTTCAAAACAAAAATATTCTTTGCACCATGCACAACGTATGAAAGCCATTTTACCATAAATATTGCACCTTGGTATATGTTTTTCTTCTTTAAAATAACAAAAATTTATTGGATTATCAAACTTTTCAATCAAACAGACCGTGCTGATAAGTATCTACTTTTGTACCAACTATAGTTAAATAGATTTTGAAATCTTGGAGAAAGAAGTCTTGGAGAAGAAAGTTCATTATATGTTAAACTTTGTAATTTTATTATATTATTACGTACATGTAAATATGTCATAATTGACCAGGTGTATACCTATGAAATGCGGATTTTTTAAAGGAAAAACACATGTTAATTTGAATGTGAATGGTTAAAGCTATTTATTTGAAGTATGCGCCATTCGACGCTACAACTTTTTCTCATCTTTCTGGCAAAAGATGGATTCCGCGACGATAGAAATTTTCATCTTTTGAAGCAAACCATGAATCAACCCATTTTTTTACTTCTTCGAAATTAGCGAAGTGCTGCTCAGCCAATTCGTGCGCCATCGACCGGAACAAGTGATAGTCCAAAAGAGCAATGTCTGACGAATACGGCGGGTGAGGTAGCACATCCCAATTCAATTCTTTTAAAGTTTCCTTGACAACTTTTGTGATGTGGGCCGGCACATTATCATGTAGCAAAATCACTTTTCCATGTCTTTGGGACGTTCCATTCCGGACGTTTTGTGATCAATGCATAGTTCAAATTGATCATTTGTTGTCGGTAGCGAGTAGCATTAATCGTTTCACCAGATTTAAGAAGTTCATAATAAACAACACCTTTTCGATCCCACCAAACACAGAGCATTGTCTTTTTTCCAAAGCGATTTGGTCTTGCAGTCGATGTTAATGGTTCATGGTCTTGATCAACCCATGATTTTCTTCGTTTCTCGAAATATATCCATTTTTTATCACCTGTGACGATTCGATACAGAAAACTCTTCCGTTGATGTCTTTTCAGCAGGAGTTCGCTGGTGACTTTTCG